CTGGTCTAAAATTTTCCGAATTACCCGATCGGAAAATCCCGAAGGGTGATTTTCCTGGCAAAGATCCCAGCTAATGATCGAGAGCGTGCACAAGTACTAAGCAGAACCGACATTCTGGTCTAAAATTTTCCGAATTACCCGATCGGAAAATCCCGAAGGGTGATTTTCCTGGCAAAGATCCCAGCTAATGAGAACGTGCACAAGTACTAAGCAATCCTTACGGCAATTTTGATGTGGATATTAAATTTTAGCAATACAGCATAATTGTAATAAAAAAATGATCGAGACCATCTTTTTTCATCAAGATACTCGACCGGCTAAATCGTTTGAAAATTGAGCTCAGACTTATTAATTTAGGTGCGAAAATGCGCTATTCGAAAATACAGAATTCTAATCTACTGTATATATAAAATAGGTTTATTTGAATTTATAACATTTTTAGAAATAATATAATGAAGAAAATCTTCCTTCAAAAATATAAATTTACAATTGAAGGATTTATTGTTATAACTTATAAGGCAATTGTATTTAGAAATTTAACTACAGTCATTTGGATCTTCATAACACGTAATCAATTTCCAAATATATATAAATAAAAAAAAGTAATCTTTTTTTATTAATAGAGTTTTATATCTCACATCTCGTTTCTCTAACTATAGATATATATTTTTGAAAATTCTCTGTTTATTTTAAAATTATTTGACACCTGAAGCTTTCTTTTATGTAAATCATGTAGGATAGATCATTACTGTAATTAAAAAGGGTAAGTTGATCTTGCGCATCTTTAGGTTGGATCAAGATCTTTCGGAACTTGCTTTATTAAAGATCCGGTCAATTTTATTGAACATGAATCAATATTTGATAATTTTAATCTGCAACACACAAAGCGATAGCATTGATGTTATGAATAATATACGTACACAAGCAAATCTAATTCGGAAAAGAAATCTAATTTTGTATGCTTATTAATCACGGGCTTGCACTATTGACCTGATTGACCGCAGCTGTGTACATGAATTAGCTTTTTTAATGAAACTGATAACTCGCCTAGTGATGGGCTTTGTGCTCTTGGACTATGGCTCATTTTATGCTATACTTAACTTTCATTTCATAAGTGAGTATTGGAAACTTAAATATACTAAAAACGGTCGAGTTTTTTTTTTTTTCCTTTAGTTTTCGACGTTTGCTTTCTGATCGAATCCTTTATAGCTATTTTTTCGTTTTCCTTTTTTTTTTTTTTTTTTTTTTTTCTTTCTTTCTTTCTTTTTCTATTTTTATTTATTTATCTTTTTTTTTTTGACGTGATTTAATAGCAAATATAAAAAAAAGAAGTAAATAAAAAACAAAAAAGTGACATAAAATTATTTGTCTTATATAAAAGGAGCACCATGTTACCAAGGTCGGAAAATGATAAAAATTTTTATAATGGTATAAAAAGGACGCTTGAAAGTAATGATACTTCTGATCGTTCAAGGGCGGCGCGTTTGAATGATCCGCCGTCCGAAAATGACCATCATGAACAAGAGGAAAATCCAGTTCAATCAAGTGTCTTACATTCAGATAGGGATCATACAAATCTTGTCGCAAACAAAGAATCAAATTCAGCACCGATAACTTATAATAAACTACCACAATTTAAAATTACTACCAGACCCCCTTTCCCACCGACCATTGATCCTAAAGATTTAGTTAATGACCTATTTAAAAGAAAGTCACAGCCACCAAAAATGCTGAATGAATTTTTTATCTATCGTAAAGCCTTTGTTCAAGAACTCAAAAAACAAAGGCTGCGAGTAAAAATGACGCTGGTGTCATCTCAAGCGTCTATTTATTGGCATCAAGAAACTTCACAAGTTAAAGAAGGTATCATCTGTTTATTTTACAGTACATTCAAAGAGCATTATTGCCTAGGGTAAATTTGTCACTTTAATTGAATTCTTACCTAATGAGTTTATCACTTTATTGGCTATTTCTAATAAGGTTTCATTTTTAATGAGTACGAGAGTGCAAATTTGTCCAAAGGCATTAAATATATATATACAATTTTAATCTACCTTTTACTCATTTTATATATGCCTTGTAAACACATTCGTAAAAAAAAAAAAAAAAAAGCATATAGAAAACTTGCGCGTGATACAGAAAGAATGTATATGCAGGAATATAAAAAAAGACAACAACAAATTTCAAATCTTGCGGTAAATTCAGCAAACACCTTTAATACTTCGATTTCTTCTGCAATTTCCTCTACCTCTGCGACTTCTGCCTCGACCGCCCCTGCATCAGACTCTAAGGATGCTAAATCTACTTTGGAAATCAATCCATCAACTGCTATGTTCAATAATACACTTGTGTCGACCGCGTCTGTCCATCATTTTTCAAATGATAGTATGTATATTTTTTCGAATTAAACTTTTACAAGGGTCTCATGAACAATTTAATTAATTTTTCACCTTATGATACTTCAGACTACATTTCATATGATCCTTCATTCGGGGCGATCAACTTCGATTACTCTCTAGGAATATCTGTTGATAATATTTTAACACCTATTGTACCTTCTCAAAGGGACCTGCCCGATCCGACAGCGCCCACAACTCGGGAAACACAAGAACAATAATCTTCTTACTTCATGGCTAAGAAATAAGATTTTAAATATATACATACATATTTTTTTAAAAAATTTACACTACTGTACATGTACGTACGTACGTACGTATTAAATAATAGATGACAAAGTATGATTTTTCTTTTTAATAAAATAAGCATATTATTATAGCATATAGCACGAAACGTAATGTTCGTGTAATGCGATGCATCTTATAGGAGCATTGAAGTTTACTTCATATGCTGTATGGATATAGTAAGTTATGAATAGAGATGGTCCGTCCTCCTCAGTTCCGGTCTGTAGGACCGATCTAATGTGTTATTAGTCCGGTCAGTTCGTCTTTCAGTTCTTACGATCTTTAAGAATTTTGGAATATTTAGGATTTATTTATTTATATATTTTTCCATTAACGTGAGGTCTATCTCTCATCTTTTATTTAAAATTTTTGGAACATACGTACGTATATTCTTACATCACAGGAATACTAGGAATTTTTTTATGCAAACTAGTTTAATAAAGTTAATTTAATATTATATATAGAATAATTACAATGATTTTTTACTTCTTTTTGAAAAAATGTTTCAAATATAGTATCGTTCTTGCAGATTAATCATCTAATCTATTTCATTTTTATTTTTTTGGTTGAACAGTAAGATCGGTTACGAAGAATGCTTGTTATATGAGTTCCAAGAATTATAGGCTCATTTATTAGAGGACCACTTGTACCAGTATTAATATTGCTGTGCGGTGGCAAAAAATTTTTCTTTGAATTCAGATCGACCAAAATTTAGGGTCGGAATAGGCCAGCGCTGAGCCGGCATTAAGCAATAATACCAGCCAATTATATTATAGCAAAATTAACATCTGGCAGCTATATAAGCTGCCGCCTGATTAGAAAATTTATCGATTCCGGCCTATTCTGACTTAAATTTTGGTTGTGCGACTAATCTATTCGAAAATTTTTGCTTGGTCCTTGGTTCCCGTTCTTGATCCATCATTAACCATGACATAAAAAGTGCTTATTTATAGACATTAATTGAACCTTTGGGATCAAGTCCTTACTAGGGAACGAAGAGCACAGATGTGGCCTAAAGTTGTTGGGCACTTTGTAGGCATGGACAAATGTTTTAGGTACGTGTTTAGTACTTTGTATTTAAGCATAGAGACCCGGTTTATATTACTAGACACTAGAACAAGATGCCTGTAACCGGAACTTTCGATGTCAGGCATGTACCTGGTATGGGCATTTGCAAATCTCTAATTCCTACCGATTTTTTCAATAACTCAATCACAAATTCACCAAATAAATATATAAAGCTTAGATTTAATTGATTATTAAACCTAGTTGCTTATAAATCCTAAAATTTGCTTTTATTAAGCATTAAAAGGTTTTTGGTTTTGCCAAATCTTGTTATTAGCAAGATGTGTTTTATTTAAAACATATGTTTTCTTTTTTATATATTTATTAATATCGTATAAGTTAAGCTAATTACATAATATCGTAATGATATAAATACAGAATCAGCTAGTATTTTTTCTTATAACTACACTATTGTGCGATATAATATCTCCCTATTCTATAGTAATAAATTATTTTGCCCGCTAGTACAAAAGGTAAAAGCTAGAAAAACATATGTTTTTTTTTTTTATTATTAATGTTAATGTCATATGGGGGGCGTCAATAGAAACCAAGCATCTTGTTTTTAGTAAGTTTTTTTAAAAGTTTAAATTAAAATATCTTGACAAC